TCTTTGTAACGAAATGGATTGCGAATTTTGCTTGAAAAACCGCTATAGCCGATCTAGAGTGTCGTGGTCGGGAGTTTGGATACTTGACCTACTACAAGAAGAGGGCAGAATCGCGAGAAACTTGGGGGGAGGGCTTCGGGGGCGTATGAAGAGAAGCCGGTGAGTGAAGTAGTGAAATTTGTGGAGTGGTGTAGTGCTTGATCACGACTCGTGATTCAGGAGGAATGGCTAACAAGATCGATCTTCTTGAAGAGACGCTTTGCTGCGTCCTTCAAATACGATAGCTGGCTATATCTTGACGGTATTTCATCCTAATGAATGTCTATCTAGCCAATTGTTTAGGATGAAAGACCGTCAAGATACGTCTTTCCTCTTGCGTACGGCTTTTGGTGAAGGTCGTTGCTAGGGGCATTCTACCAATAGATACGCAGCAGCTCAAACCTTTCTTCAATTCTAGATGTGAAACTCCAAACCTGAAACTCCAAACCTCAAGAGTAGTTTGGAGATATGGGAGTTTCCAGTTGAAACCTCGTCGCTTCGCAATTCTGCTTTGTAATCGCTAAAATATTCCTTCGTACCAATAGTTTGTATTTGGTTGGGTTGGTTTGTATCAGGCGTGCAGATTTCTATAACTGCGGTTTATGGGCGATAATTCAAAAAACGGCTCCAAAGATTTATTCGGCGTATCGCTTTTCGTATCAGTGATTGCTGTTATCCAGACGGCTTTTTTTTTGCGGTTTTTGCGTAAAACGTTAACATAACCGATTTCCAAACCTAATGCACCCATCTACACCTTTGTGCACTCAACTTCGTAGTAAACAGAATTCAAACTCGTAACTTAAAATTTGGCAAACAGGAAAATTACGATAGGAGCGCATAATCAGTATTCAATGTTGAAAAAACTGCAATCGACCTCGTTGACTATTTACCGTAAACCATAGCTATTCCTTCAGCAGCAGCGTTGACAGCCTTGCTACAGTGAAGCTCCATACGAGACACCAGGACCGATGTCATGCACTTCATTTCCGCCTTAGCAGCCCTCTCCAGAACGCGCATCTGTCTTCCAGCTAGCGTCATCACGTCTCCGTTGTTGTCCAGTTGACGGCTGCGATCGCATATTTCCTCGCGGTAGATTGCTAAGTGTCTCTTAATGTTTGCCTTTAACACACTGAAACAGCCCTCGATCGGATTGCACATGGGGGAGTACGGCCCTAGCCGTAACAGCTCCATGTCTTCGTGCTCGGTAACTCGATCCTCTGTCTGTCGGTGGGCAGGAGCGTTATCAAGAACGATGACAACCTTTTTGCCCTGAAAGAAGTTGCGGAACTCTTGCGACGCCTTGACCGCCTTGTAAATCTCCTCAACGAAGGCAGCATTCTTCTCCATACGAATGCTGCCATGTTCCAATTGGTACGTCACCAGCCCAATGCTTGACGAAACAGCACATTGGATCTGGAGATTAGCACCTTTGGA